TCCAGGTGAGTGGCTCCTCCTCAGATGAGTCCGCCCCCGACCAGCAGATGTCCCGCGTCCTATCAGAGGCCTTCCAGGCGATGAAGGCGGAGCTCGACGCCCTGCCGCTCAGCATGCTGGCAGCGGAGGGGGGGCTGGGAGGTGTGGGGGAGGTGAAGACGGCGGCGCTTCTGGAGGAGTACTCGCTGCTCCTCCTGCAGGCGGTTCAGAGGAGGATCAACAGCAGCACCTGAGCCCGTCCCTCTGACCCCGCCCCCTCCCTCTAACCCCGCCCCCCTCCGGAAGGATCTGAAGCCATTTTGTTTTTAAACTGATGCAATGACCTTCGTCGTTTTTAGACTTTCCTCGAACTTCCCAGCGGCGTCAGTCTGAGCGATCGGATGATTGATCGCCGTTAGACTGAGCAATGCCACACTTTGTATTTATTGTGATGATGAGCTGTTACACTACTGACTCCGCCCCCTCGCCTCACGCCGACCGGCACGTTTTGAAGCGCTGCTTTTGCCGCGGTCGTGCATTTTGACGTCTTCGGGTGTTTGTGGGGATAAATTTGTAGTTTGAAACAATTTCATGTTTTTGTCACGTTTAATAAAAGTTTCAGACTCGCTGTGTCTCCGACTTTACTGCAGCACAAACAAGAGTCAGCAGGCTGTTAAAACTTTATTGATCGATAGACGAGAACGCTACATTCACAGGGGCGGGGCTAAAGTCACGCTCCTCCTGAGACTTTTGCATGAAATGATCGCTGGAGCAGAAACAGCTGCAGTTCCTCAGCCGACCAGCGAGGCAGCAGTGAGACTGTTTACAGGATCGTTTCCTCTGCTTTATATTAAAGAGTAAAGTTTGCGTTATTAAGGGCGTGGCCTCTTTCATCCCACTTCCTGTTCGCGCTGCCGTACAAAGGTTGGATAATCTGGGTGCGTCGCAGCACGTCACCATCACAGGTGGAACAGCAGGAAGCCGGAGAACACGCTGAAGTTTCGTGAGTCGTCATAGAGACGGTAGCTGGCCGGCAGGCCGAGGTGCACCCGGTCGCCCTCCTCTAGCTGCAGACACACGGCGTTGCTGGTGGAGGCGTAGCCGCCGTGGTCGTTCAGGTCGAGGCTGAAGACGATGGGCTGGTCGTTCTTGTACAGGTACAGGCCCATGTAGCCTTTCAGGTAATCTGCCGCCGTGAAGCTGAAGACGTACAGGCCGCTGACAGGCGCCGTGAAAACACCTGAGGACAGCACAGGTGTAATCAGACCTCAGCGAGGAGCTCCGCCCCCTCCACCTTTGACCATGTTGATATAATTCTGCAGTCAAACATCTGGAGCTGAACATTTCAGCGTCCTGTGGGCGTCAGCTCTACCTGCTGACTGGTTGTAGGCTCCGCCCACGTTGGTGATGATTTTGGAGAAGATCAGCGTTGTTTCTTCATCAAACGGTCCCACTGACCCCGAGTCGGTCAGACCGGCTGAAAACGCCACCCTGAGCTCACCTGGAAGAGACAGATGTGATGTTTAACCACAGCTGGCTGGTGAGGACGTGTAAC